GGTGGCTCATACCTGTAATCCTAGCACTTTGGGAGGCCAAGGCGGGTGGATTACCTGAGGTCAGGAGTTCAAGACCAGCCTGGCCAACATGGCAAAACCCCATCTCCACTAAAAATACAAAAATTAGCCGGCCATGGTAGTGTGCTCCTATAATCCCAGCTATTCAGGAGGCTGAGGCAGGAAAATCGCTGGAACCCGGGAGGCAGAGGCTGCAGTGAGCCTAGATCACACCACTGCGCTCCAGCCTGAGTGACAGAGCAAGACTCTGTCTCAAAAAAAAAAAAAAAAGAAAAAAAAGCATTAGCCAGGCATGCTGGCACGCATCTATAGCGCATCTATAGTCCCAGCTGCTCAGGAGGCTGAGATGGGAGGATTGGTTGAGCCCAGGAATTCAAGGCTTCATTGAGCTGTGATCGTGCCACTGCACTCCAGCCTGGGTGAGAGAATGAGACTCCATCTCTTATTTAAACAAAACAAACAAAAAAATTGACTGTTTTGATCATAACTACAGTTGAGTCTTCTTCCAGAGCATTGAATATATTAACTTTCAAACAATTCAGACAGTGCAGATATCCTACACTTCCTCCAAAAATGGTTAAAATGTAATTCTCATACCTACTAATAAATACAAAATAATTTAAAAGCCACTGATAATGTACTGCTCATTTTTTACAGAGGTCATATGGTTGAGAGACTCTGTGAAAGTAGAAAAGGTAGCAAATGTGGAGAAACCACAAGCCAGATGCCAAATGTTAATATCAACAAGGAAACTTCTACTGGAGCAAAACCACATGAATGCAGCTTTTGTGGGAAAGACTTCATGCATCATTCATCCCTTAATAGGCACATGAGATCTCACATTGGACAGAAACCAAATGAGTATCAAGAATATGACAAGCAACCATGTAAACGTAAAGCGGTTGGGAAAACCTTCAGTTATCGCCACTGTGTTCGCAAACATGAAAGAACTCACACTGGAGGGAAGCCCTATGAATGTAAACAATGTGGGAAAGCCTTTATATATTACCAGCCTTTTCAAAGACATGAAAGGATTCATGCTGGAGAGAAACCCTATGAATGTAAGCAATGTGGAAAAACCTTTATATATTACCAGTCTTTTCAAAAACATGCTCACACTGGAAAGAAACCCTATGAATGTAAACAGTGTGGGAAAGCCTTTATATGTTACCAATCTTTTCAAAGACATGAAAGGACTCACACTGGAGAGAAACCCTATGAATGTAAGCAATGTGGTAAGGCCTTCAGTTGCCCCACATACTTTCGAACTCATGAAAGAACCCATACTGGAGAAAAACCCTACAAGTGTAAAGAATGTGGTAAAGCTTTCAGTTTTCTCAGTTCTTTTCGAAGGCATAAAAGGACTCACAGTGGAGAGAAACCCTATGAATGTAAAGAATGTGGAAAAGCCTTCTTTTATTCTGCAAGCTTTCAAGCACATGTAATAACACACACTGGGGCTCGACCTTATAAATGTAAAGAATGTGGGAAAGCCTTCAACTCTTCTAATTCCTGTCGAGTGCATGAAAGAACTCATATTGGAGAAAAACCATATGAATGTAAACGGTGTGGCAAATCATTCAGTTGGTCCATTTCTCTTCGAATGCATGAAAGAACTCATACTGGAGAGAAACCCTATGAATGTAAACAGTGTCATAAAACCTTCAGTTTTTCAAGCTCCCTTCGAGAACACGAAACAACTCACACTGGAGAGAAACCCTATGAATGTAAACAATGTGGGAAAGCCTTCCGTTTTTCAAGTTCCCTTCAAAGACATGAAAGGACTCACAGTGCAGAAAAACCCTATGAATGTAAACAGTGTGGGAAAGCCTTCAGGTGTTCAAGTTATTTTCGAATTCATGAAAGGTCGCACACTGGAGAGAAACCCTATGAATGTAAACAGTGTGGAAAAGTTTTCATTCGTTCCAGTTCCTTTCGACTGCATGAAAGGACACACACTGGAGA